TTGGGCGGGAAAAATTTTCTGAGGAAAATGGAGAAAATGACACGTGTACTTTGGGTGTTTATAATAAGGACATGTGGCACCATAGAGAGGTTTTTATTAGGAAGAGAGATTTATCATATAATTAATTCCAACTATTTCTAATTAATTAATCACTTAATAAATTAACAAAAATCATTTTATATCTCTCTTAAAGTCATTTATAGTCATTTCTAGCTTTTGAGGGCAATCCAAAAAATGACTTTAATTTTATTCTATAAAGTTATATCAATTTAGTCATGACCTTGACCAATTTAGTTATGACATTGAACAATTATTCTACCAGTCTCCCACTTGAAAAAGTCATCAACTACAATTGGGAATATAGACTTTTAATAACCATATGTTGGTGTTTGTTTTTAGGAAAAAAAAAATTTAACATTAAAAAAAGCTTCTAATTTTAGAAGACATTTTCAAAATTCTAACCCTAATTTAATATATATTTTCCACTTTCATCGTCACCACCACATTTGCCACAGTCGACTTCCGTTTTCGACTGTCTTTATATTGTCGGGTTCCTATTAACAAGATCTTCGATTCTCGTTTAGATTGTTTCGGATAATAATCAACCGATCTAAAAGTCGATATCCGTGTTGCACACTGTTGCGCTGAAACTTAAAAAAATCATAACTTACTCTTATGAAGTCAGATTTGAGCGTTCTGTATATGTACTCTCTCGGTTTTGCGACTATTACGACTCTTATTTAGATTACTTAAGCTAATAAGCAATCTATCTCTACTATTTGCGATACAATATTTGATCGTGAAACTTTTGGAAGTTTATAACTTTCACATAAGAAGTCGAATTTGAGTGTGCTTTATGTGTAAGGGATTCATATCTCAACTCCTACATTTTCTGACAAGATTATTTGTCCTAAATAACCTTTTATCAAGATTGTCATTTCGTCACTTATCATAAATTACTAAAATGAATTTATAATATGTAGTCTGCAACGCGCACGACTAATGATAATCCTAATACATGATTTATATTTATAATTATTATCTATCATATCTTAAATGTCAAGCTCGAAGTTGCGGGTGTTACAATGGTGCGACGAATTTGACGCCGAAGAGATGGATGAGGTGAACGACAAAAGGGTGGTGCTCCAGACGCTTCTAGTCTTCTCACTCCTTTGGATCCACCGAAACCCTCAGTCGTCAGAACTTTTAGTCGTTGGAACTGGAACTCTCTTTGTCGGAAGCCTGGTGGTGAAGGAGATGGGTTTTCTGAAAATCTAAAGCAGATGTTTTATGTGTGTGCGCACTACAAGAAATAGAGCCTTTAGCGGCGACAAATTAAAAAGTCGCCGCTAAAGGCCTATGTCGCCGCTAAAGGCTGAATGACACCGATCCGCTCTTTGACGTTCTGGCAAACACGAATCGTCCGATCGTGGTTCTAATCCAACGGCTAGGGTGCTCGTGGAACGCATAAAGGAAATACCGGCGACTTTTGTCGCCGCTGAAGATCCAAAATAGTCGCTGTTAAAGATAAAAAAATGACGCGGTAATAATTCCCACCTGATAGTCGCCGCTATTGATAGTTGTCGCCGCTAAAGCCCAATTTGTCGCCGGTAAAGGTGTCGCCGCTAAAACCCAATTTGTCGCCGGTAAAGGTGTCGCCGCTAAAGGCCGACACAGTTAACCCCAAAAAACTCGATCTTTTCCTTTTGTTCTTTCTGTTTCACTCCCTTCGCCTGTTTCTCTTCTCTCGTCTGCATCTTACTTCGCCGATTATTGTGGGATACCAGTGAGATTTATCAATTTTGGGTGTGTGAAATTGTCCACAAAGAAGATACCACCGGTGGAGAGAGATTTTCCGATGATGACCAAGCTTTTCCGGCGACACCAAGCTTTTTCCGGCGACACCAAGCTATTTCCAGGTCAATTTTCGGTCCCTTTTCTCTTGTAACATCGATTTTAAGCTTATTGGAGTGGTTAATTGTAAAAAATTGTCAATTTCAGTTTTGTTGATTGTTTTACTACATTCCCGACCACCACCCGCGACTACCGCCACCACTGGACCATTTTCATTGATTTCCGCCACCACAGGTTCTATTTACTTCTATTTATTGTGAAATTTTAGTTTCATTGCAAAATATGTGTAGTTGTCTCAATTATTTGAAAATTGTCATATGTATGTATATTTGATATTTGTATGTGAATCTATGTTACTCTATGTGTGTTTGATGTATATGTGGTATATGAGTATTTGGTAGAAGTATGTTGTTATTATGTGAAATTATGTGTATTTGGTATAAGTAGGATGTTATTATGTATGTATGTGAATGTATGTATGTTTGTTGTATATGTTGTATATGAATGTGAAATTTGTGTATTATGTATAAATAGGATGTTATTATCTATATATGTGAAAGTATGTGTAGTTGGTCTAAATACCATCTCTTTGATTTGAATTGTTTATTTCATTTAATTAAAGAAATTAGTTTTGTTCCTATCTATCTTTCTATTGTCATGATAAATGTTCAAATTAAAAAATAAAATTAATAAATTATCTATATTATTATTTATAAGTAAGAGAAAAAAAAATATATATATATTTGATTTTTCTTTAATTAAATCAATAATATGGTAAAAGGTTAGTAAGTTTTTCAATATATTTTAGCTTTCATTAATTAACTAGTAATATATTATCCATGCATAAACTTTCAATAATAATCACATCATATGGTGTACAGATCGATGTGTTATAAAGTATACATTACACTTGTTTCATTATTATTATTATTATTATTATTATTATTATTGCATAATAATTTAAACTATCGATATTAAAATTTGAAAAGTAAAAGGCATTAAGGCAATAAATTCAAATCTAAAGTTTTGGTATAAGTAGGATGCTATAATTGGAAAAAAAATAAAAAAATAAATTATTGTTATAATTAAAATGTTATAAAATTGGTTAAAAACTTATATACAAATACTAGAAAGTTTTAGTTTAAAAAGAAATGTTTATTCCTATGTAAATGTTTATTTCTATATAACGTGAAATTGTAATAAAAATTGTATATGTATATCTTATAATTTTTCAGGAAATGTTGTCAATTTGGCTTTTGTTCGTGTATACCATGGCTGATGTTATGGGCCGTAGACATGAGGGTGATGAAGCTGAGGACTCACCTTTCCCAGGTGGTAGAGGTGCTGGTCATCATGAGCAGGACCGTAATCGAGGAAACGATGAGAACGAAGATGATTGTATGTATGGAGGAGTTTTATTTGCATATTACACTTGTTGTCACACTTTGCTACTTGTTAGCTTGTAAAACTTTTGGTTGTTTTTTGTAATTACCGGCGATATTATTACCGGTGACACTATTACTTTTGATATTTAATCGGCTCTGTAATTACCCGGCGACATTATTACCGATGACACTATTACTTTTGATATTTAATCGGATGTTTGTTTTGTAATTACCGGTGACACTATTATTTTTGATATTTAATCGAATGTTGTTATGTAATTACCGGCGATACTATTACCGGCAACCAAAATCGTTGATTAAAAAAAATTAAAAATGAAAATTGTTATTACCGGCGACTGCACTTTTTAGCAGTGACTATGTCATTAGCGACGACTGCACTCTTTAGCGGCGACATACTCATTAGCGGCGACAATTATCTTTAGCGGCGACAATTTGATCAATAGCGACGAAGCGGTAGCGGCGACTTATTATTGGCGACGTGTCGCCGCTATTACCATTACCGGCGACAATGAGACCCTTTAGCGGCGACTTTTGTCGCCGCTAATTGCCTTTTTCCTTGTAGTGGAGAGAGAGAGAGAAAGAGAGAGACTTTCTCTTTTGTTTTTTATTTATCTTAATCTAAAATTAATATAAAACTGAAAAAAAAATATGTTCAAAACAATGGACCTCTTCTTCTTTTTCTTTTTTCTTTTTTTATTTGTTTTTTTATTTTTTTATTTTTTTAAATATAAAATTATAAGACTGAAAGGTATGGGAGGGATGTTTCCCTCACCTTTTGTGGGTCACACCACCTTTCCATCACTTTCCTTTCCCTCACCTAAACTCAATGAATGGTTGGGAAGCTCCCCTCGCTATTTTTTTATTTTTTTATAAAATATATTTCATACATATATTATATTTATTTTGTAGGGAATTAAAAACCATGAATTTTAATATATTTTTTTAGTAGGTATATAATTTTATAAATATTAAAAAATATAAAAAAAAAAAAAAAATTGTCCAATAGCATGAAGAGAGAGAGTGCGGCACCCTTCTCCCCACCTCTTTCCCGCGGGTTGTTTTCCTCACCCAATGGATGGTGTTTCAGAGTGAGGGAAACTTCTCTCACCCATTTCCCGCTATGATACTGTCCGGCCTAAGAAATTATGAATAAGTTCACAAATTGGAGATATCGAGACACCGTTGGGTAACTGTGCCTCTGAATTAAATCCCACTGCTCTACTGTGGTGTCCAACAATTGACAATAACTACCATCTTTTAGTTGTCACAAATCTATTTGCATAATATCGTTTTGCTGTTCCTTTTTTTTTAATTTATTTATAAACAACTATAAATATAATGGTTTAATAATTCAAAAACTATTATAATCAATGATAATCATTTACTATTGGTTGGTGGAAAATTGAAAACATATGGATAACGGATCACATACAGCCGGCAGCCCCCACCCCTTTCCTTTGCTTTCAAGCTTTAGCTTCAATCTAACAACAAACTCCATCATGAATATATCAATCAACATGAATTCCATGTGCCAAAATCATGGCTACGTAAGTCCAGATAGAGTAGCTAGGATGCATGAACACGTCTCTTCGATTATATATAGATTCTGATGTTGATACTCGAAAAATCGAACTTAATTAAAATATTAAAAACCATATATATAACTTCAAATCCTAGTATATGAAATACCAAGTTACTAACATCTAAAGAAAACACACACACACAAACACATTTAAAGCATGCACTATTTTTTTTTTCTTTTTTCTTATAAAGTAATAATTAAAGCCCACAATCATTTCTTGATCAAATCAAAACACGATGGAGCCATGGAGGCTGGTTGAGTGATCTATCAACTTGTCTCGGTTGTTTTTCTACGCTCAAAACTCTTGAATTTTCTACTGTAATTCTGCTTCTATGACTGGAACTTGTTGAAGATGATGAAAAACTTGGCATGGAATCTGAAATATTTAATTGTCTCGGATTGTGATTGTTCCTCCTACGTGTGGGGCCCAACGTGAGCTCGATTTCACTCTCGTCTTCAATCTCATACTCGTTAGTACTTGCTGGTTCATGTTCCAAATCTTGGTTTTGAAGCTTGTTGATGTTGAAATTGTAATCGTTTTGATAATCGAAGCTTATGCTTCCATTTTTCAAGCTCCATGTTTCTTGATTCTGCATGCTTCTTTGCATGTTCTTCATCAGCAGCCTTTGGATTTGATATAGCCTATGAAGCTCATATACCTTATATATAAATGAAAATAAAACAAAATTGATTGACACATGACAATAATAATCGCAAACAAAACTACGTACTTACTTAATTTTGATGAGATATTAATAATTATTACCTGCTGTTTGAACGTTTCTTCATGCTTTAACATGGCCATCTTCATGCATTCCATATCATATGGTAATGGTAGACCCAATTTCTCCATTGATCGATGTCTTCTTCTTCTTCGATTTAGAATAAAAATATCTCAATCATCCAAATAACGCTTCAAGACGCATTTCCTACACTTTTTTTTGCATTACAAATTGACAAAATTTTATTCTGGAATCTTTTTCTCATATTTAAATAAATTATGGGTTTGATTGTTGTTCTTGAAATCCCAATAAATTACCAGCTAATAAGTGAGCGAATTTGACTTTTGTGTATAAGATCAACCATACTAATTACTCTCTCTCTCCAAGCCAAAAAAAATGAATACAAAATCATGATCATGTAGATATAATTTCAACTTATATACGAAATATTTAAGTAAAAGGAATTCTTTTTTTTGATTTTGGGTTTAAATCTACTGATGAAGGAGAAATCTTCACATCGCATATGTAAATTTTCGGAGTCTTTGAAACATGGGAATTAAAGAAAAGAAGAACATCGTTCATCAAGTTGACTTTTGAATGTCAAACAGGTTTAAGTTTAACCTCAAAATTAACGAGAACAACAGATGTATAAGTTAGCTTAATTACAAGAGAATGATTAAAGCTATAAACGATATTGATACATGAATGAAATGATCGACAATGGATTTAAATTTGAAAAAGGTATTTACTTGGATTTGAAGATCAAAAGTTTGACTTTCTTTTATCTTTGAGTGGTGTATGAGTAGGAAGAGATTAGAGAAGCTTTATATATTTCTAACCTGTTAGGGAAGTCCCATGTGAAGTAATCTCAAGTCAAGTGAAGATGAAGATAGAAAGCAAACAGTTGGGACTTGTAGTGTGTGTTTTAAGTACTGCTTTGCTTTAACAACTCTGCACCATAAAATTTTATTAATATATATATCTTTGAGGATTTAAGATTCTCTTTCTTATTTTATTATATCTCTATCTAGCTATATTTAATGCAAATTATAATTTGATTGAAGAATTTGAGTTGCTTTAGGTGATTTGAAATTCCTTCAAAACAATTTAAAGGTTTTTAAGAATATGTCAATAAAGGAACGATGTAAAATTAATGTGTTTTCTTTTTGTAGTTAAAATGACTACGAGTATGATGGAATGAGAATAAGAATTTATACCAAAATGGCAAAATCAAAAGTCCTTGACATGTTTAAAAGATTTCCAAATTCTTTTTTTGTTTCACTCCCTTTTATATATTCATATTCTTTAACCAAGCTTCTGTCCTAAGAAAAAAAAAACTCCTCTAACGTATGCTCATTAGCCAAAAACCACCTAGTTATTAATCATATATATGTATAAAAAAATGTTTTTAGAGAATGAAAAAGTTGTTTTTTCTTTCTTTTATTAAACAAAATTCATATTTTAAATGATCATAATCAGAAGTATATTACATCATAATATTAAAAAACACACACACACACAAATCAAGGAATGTTGGAATTGTATTTGGCGCCATACACAACAAATCCTTGTTTTGTACTGGCCAAAAGGTTCTAAATTTTGTGCAAGAAATACACGCATGTTTTAGGGTATTTTTTTCGTTTTTTTTTTTTTACAAATAATAGCAAAATAACAATTATTAAATAGGAAAATTTATTTATATTATATATATATATATATATATATATATATATATATATATATATATATATATATATATATTAAATTTAAACATTCAATCAAACATTCAAACATATATATTAAATTTAAATATCCATAAAGACAATTTATTATAATACTACAAATTATATTTTAATTATTTCCATAGAGACAGATACCCACTGCGTTGTGTCGGGCCTCACCTGCACATACCTCCATCATTGCATTTTTTTTCTGAAATAAACCAAATCATAACAAAAACTTTTGTGTTCTTTTAGGCTTTCCGTTTTCACGCGTAATAGCTGACATGTCGGACTTTTCCGCGCATGGGGCGTAGGTGTTGTGCGACGTGGATCTGGCTACGAGCGACCACCAGGAGTTTGATTGGTTAATGCCATTTGACTGTTTTTTTATGTACATCGAATGTATGGACTGGAGAGGTAGTTTAGATGTAGTTAAATGGTTTAAGAAGAGGTAAATTGAAGCTTTGAATTTTGATAATGGCCAATGACCCGTTTTTCAGAAAACGGGTGAAGAAGGAAACTAAAAAGGCAAACGGGTTTAAAAGCAGATTCATTTACTGAAGTTACAAAAAGTTACAATTATGGTCCCTGAAATTATGTCTCTTAATCAAATCATACCTCCTAATTATCTTTGAATTAAATTAAACCTTCATCTATAGTTTTTTTAATAGTAAAATGATTATTTAAGTTTAAAATTATGTATTTTTATTTAATCTAATAATAATAATAATGATAATAATATAGAATGGTAATCATTTCTATGGTGTAGTAGTAGTCTAGTAGTAAATATATAATAGAGATGACACGGCATAAATATAATAACGTTTTAATTGTAGGTTAGTAGTGACCATACTTCTTAACCTCATAGAGACATCTTTTACTATTTAATAGAAAACTTCAAAATATTATATATAAGAATCTTTTTAGGATCCACGATCACATCTAATGCAATACAAGAATAAAAGCAAAAATATTATTAAACATTTAATAGTTATATATATATATATATATATATATATATATTATATATATATATATATATATATTAAAGTTATGAAAAGTTTTAACAGTAAAGTGACAATTTGTTTGTGGTTCCTCCAACTTACAACATTGACCCTTCATCTTTATGTTTTTGTTCACAAACAACCCTTTCACTTTGATTTGAATTTTTCATAACCCTCGCATTTTATTACATATTATTAGTATTTAGTCTTTTGGCAGAAATGGTCCCTCATCATTATTATTATTATTGTTAGACAAAATTACACGATTGGTCCCTGTGGTTTACCAGATTTAACATTCTCTTTTTGGTTTTAAATTAATGTTTTATTTATTAGAAAATACTCACCCAATACCATAAACCCACCCACCATCTGCCATCACCACCACCACCATCACCGCCAAAATTACATAAATGGTCCATATGGTTTACCCATAGTGACAAATTCAGCCCCTACTACCTGAAAAGACCAAATTACCCTCACATTAACGGACAAAAAGCAACCAACATGCTACTTTACTTTACAAAGCAATACCTTCCGACCCCGACAACGCCGGTGAATCTTTTCTAGTATATATATATATATATATATATATATATATATATATATATATAATAAAGGAAATTTTGGTAGGAAGGTGAGAAAATTTTTATATACATATTTTTTTAGCAAACAAACAAAAATGAATTATTAGATGATTAAAAAATAAGTTGATTCACAAGAAACAATTTCTAAAAAAACACATTCATGATTCATTTTTAAGTAAATTAAGAAAAAAAATCACTTTTATGATAATTTTAGTGAATATCAAGAAAATCATCGTAAAAATGAATCATCAAGATGATTTTTCGGGAATTTTTTCTGTGAATTATGTTATTTTTTATTTATCTAGTGATTCATTTGTTTTTTTCACCAAAAAAATATTCCGAAAAAAAAAACTTCTTATTTTTCTACCAAAAAAAAATTCTTACCGCATCTGTAACGTCCCAAAAATACCAAGAAAAATTTTCATTTTTAATTAAGTCAAAATCATTCATTCATTATTCCAAAAGATGATCGGAGTGAACGTATTCTCAAAACATCGGAGTAAAATCATAAATAATTATTACGGAATAATCTTCAGGTAATGAAGTGCTATCAAGTCGGGTCCTTCCTTTTGAAACCATATGTACCTGATAACATTTTAAACATAAATCGTAAGCATAAAGTTTAGTGAGTTCCCCACGGTATCACATACCAAACATACAACTGGGCCTAGCCTTGGGGTATATTCCAACCCAATATACAATCATGGGCCTAGCCTTGGGGTCTCTTTCAACCCATCACATACTCATGGGCCTAACCATGGGGTTTATTTTAACCTAATCATAAAATAATGGGGCCAACCTTGGGGTTTATTTCAACCCAACCATAAAAACATGCAAGAGTCACAAAGACAGCTAGCATTCTACATACATAATTTAGTGAGCCGACATTGGTGCCTTCGACCCACAAGCATAGTGAGAAAACTCACCTGAGCTACTCAACAGAAGCCCACAACTACCCCAACATCAAAACAACCAACCCAAACTTTCTAAAACCAAACCAAGACCAATCATTAGTCAAATACTCGATTCTAACCAAGTTTGACCAAAAGTCAAACCGATCAACAAGTCAACGGTCAAAGTCAAAGTCAAATTGCCAATCAGCAGCCTTCCACATCGTGGACTTCCTTGGCCACGTCGTAGCCTCGTAGGCACAAAATGCTAAAATAATCGATAATCCTCCAGTCGCCACGTTGTGGCGACTGGTGTGGACTGCTCAAAGAGCTTAATCCGTTTTCTTCTGATTTTAAGAGCTCCAAAGCTTAGATCTGATCCTTTCCAAGGTCTTAATGGATAAAGTTTCTAACTTTATTCATTAGGAAGGTCCAAACCACCAAGATCTAGATTTTAAGTCTCAAATGGACCCAAAATGCATCTTTCTCAACTTAATCCATTAAGTCCAGGTCTCCAACTTCCATATCTGAATCAACAAGATGTCTTGAGGGATAAAGTTGGAAAAGTTTCCAACTTTATCCATAATAATTCCCCAATCATTCAAGATCTAAACTTTAATTCACCAAAATAGCCTAAAGGACCAAGATAACTTGCATGACTAAAAAGGACGGCAAAAGATCATCAATTTCCTAGTCCATGGGGTCCAAGAAACATTCCAAAATAATCAAAATATGTTGGAGTCCACTCAACTCCAAGATCACTCATAAAATGGAGCAAATGTGCAAAAAGCCCCTAATGACAAGATCTAATGAATTAGATAGCAAGATTGGAATTTTATACTCACAATGGTCCAGAAAATGTAGTGCCTTTGATGGATCCAAACTTGAAGCATCGTTCCTTGAAACTAAAGTAAACTTCTTGATCTTCTTATTCCATCAAAATAACATGAAAATCATCCAAAAGAGGAGAGAGATGAGAGAGGAGAAGCTCAAATCTTGAAGGTGGAGGTTAAGGATTCTCCCAAGAGGTTCTAGAGATGATGGAGGCTGATAAAATGCCCAAAATGTGGAACATTAAGATTAAATACGTTGAAAACCCTAAAATAAATTATGAGCTTGGGCCTGACTGATCCCCACGTCGCGGGCTCTGATTCCCACGTTGTGGTCACGATTTTCACCCAAAACCACCTCAACTTCAAACTGTTGGATTAGGTGTCTAAGCCCATAACTATTTTGGTATGTACTTGACCCGATTGTGAGCATGGTCCTTTTGGGTTGCCTTCGCCATAGCAACTGATAGGATGAATTAAGGAAAAAAGGGATTAATTATGATTTATTAATATATTATATGAATAATATATTAAAGGAGAAATCATATTGTTTAATTAATATTAGTCAAGAATTAATTAAGAATTAATTATGTGGCTAAAAGACATTAATTAAATAAATGGACTAGAACTGTCAATTGTGTGATAGTTGAATATTGGGTTAATGGACTCCATAGAAGTTGGAGTGGACGAAATCTATGGGGTAACCCATTAGAATTCATCCAAGGCTTCTAAGGAGGGAGTCCATGGGCTGCTTAGGGCCTAAGCAATCAAATTAGGGTTTCTTTGTTTGATAACCCTAATAGCCTAACTATATAAGGAACCCCTAAGGCTCCAAAAATGTGTGGAAGTAATCCTTAAGGGTTCCTAGACGTTTTTGGTGCTCCTCCTCCCCCTCTCCTTGTTCA